ATGACACAAATTACATTAAGCACATCCTGTTTCTATTATGGGGTATTTCCTGACCCCAGTGTGTTCTGATGTCTTTAACACTGGGGGGAAATCAGTTTCTACAGAAGGGAAATTAAGACAATTAAAGTGTCTTACTTCAGCTTTAGGGCATCATGAGTCATTAAATAATAATATGGGCAAGAACATCTGGGTTACCCAAGCTTGGGAATCGCTGTCTTAGAAGATCACAAGCTGAATAAGTGTCAACAGTGTGATGAGGCTTCAAAGAAATATAAAAGTCTTCATAAACAGAACTCTGATGCCTGAGTCATGAGAAAATATGGATCCACTGCGTTTGTACTAACCAAGCTACACTGGAAGTATTGTGCAAAGTTCTGGGAACCATACTTCTTAAGAAGCTCATTGACAAACTGGTATGTGTTTGGAGGAGGGTGGTATATGGTGGAACTGAATGTCCTCCAATATGTCTTTCAACTGCATGGTTCTATGAGATCAGAGAATTCTAAAATGGAATGAACAACTTCGGGAAAATAATCTTCCATGCATTGCATGCAAATACGTACATGTGTAAAAGTCAAACCAAACCAAAACAAAGAACACTGTTTTTCCAGGAAAGCTCATTCAACTATGAACAAAAAGAGGTTTACTCAGCTGGCACTGAACCGCCCAAGATCAGCTCTAGTAACAGGCAGGCTATTGCAAGAAGTAGAATTCAAGTTATCTGTATAAGGTTGTGTAATGCTTTCTATTTTACCGTTAGACAAAGGTACCATTTACCTTTACTTTTGTCTCATTTAATTTGACCATCAAATAGATGTGGTTCACATCTAGCTGATTATTCCCATTCCAACCAATGAAACAGAAAGCACATGCGATTCATCAGCTGGGAAATCTACAAAGATCTTTGATCAAAACATGTGAAATGACCCAAGGAGTGAAAGGAATATCTATAAAACCACTGGAAGTTAGATGAAAGACATTTTTAAAAGATGAAAGGAAGGTGCTAGAAATCCTGTATTCCTCTGAGAATATCTGAAACGTATGGTCAGAAAATGTAAAGGTATTGAGGCAGCAGTTCTCATCAGTGCTTACTTGGAAATGGGGCTTATTTCTGAGTAAGGAAGATCTCCCTGAATCTGTGAAAGAACTTTTCTGGCTTTTGCAAATGAAGAATAAAGAAGAAATCTACAAACATGTAACTTGTTTTCATTTCACATAGGATGTGCAGGTAATGCGCTTATCTCCACTTGCCACTCTGATTTGATTCTGCTAGAGTTAGGTAAAGGTAAAGGTAAGGGTTCAAAAAGAAAGGCTATTTTCAGCACAAAAATATTTTGAACAAAACTCCTTTTGTTTGTGCAAAATACAAAGATTTTAGTAAAATACTGGGGGGGGGGGTTGCACAAGAAGAAGGGTGGTTTTTGTTGTTGTTGGGGGTTTGCATAAAATCACTTCCAAGGATTTGTTGACCCCTCTCAAATAAGGTAAAGGTAAAGGTTCCCCTTGACAATTTTTGTCCAGTCGTGTCCGACTCTAGGGGGCGGTGCTCATCCCCATTTCCAAGCCATAGAGGCAGCGTCTTGTCCGAAGACAATCTTGCGTGGTCACATGGCCAGTGCAACTTTGACACGGAACGCTGTTACCTTCCCACCGAGGTGGTCCCTATTTATCTACTCACATTTGCATGCTTTCAAACTACTAGATTGGCAGGAGCTGGGACAAGCGACGGGCGCTCACTCCGTCATGTGGATTCGATCTTGCAGCTGAAGATCTACAGACCTTACAGCACAGAGGCTTCTGCGGTTTAACCCGCAGCAGCACCACGTCCCTTTCTGCTAGAGTCAGAATATACAAATAAAGCTATACTGAAAAACTGCCCACATAGACTTCATATGTATTTCCTCTCTGTTTAACAGGGAACTGACCCTCTACACATAAATGGTTTTCTGAGAGAGATTTGCTTTGAACTGCTTGTCATTTCTTATTGCTAAAAACCACACCATTCGCTCATTCCATTTTCCATTTCTGCACCCTTCCAATACAGTAGTTGTGGTAGTTTTTCCTTTGTACACCAACCTACATATGGAAGGAGAAAGGAGCTGTGGTTTTCCATTAGAATAAATATTACCATATTATATTCAAGTTGAAGGACAATTCCTGTCTTTTCCACATGACTATATGCTCTGTCCTTTCTTCCTAATACTAGTTCCCACATAAGATGGAAAGAGTTTGTGGTGTGAAGAGCAGGCATCATCTCCTTCCTTCAGAGTAGTTGTGAGGAAGGAAGTGTGCGAGGCTGCTGCTGGAGATTAAAGAGAGCCAGTTGTGCCTTCTAGCAAAGACACACACACACACACACACACACACACACACACACACACACACACACACACACACACAACTCATAAGAAAAAAATGGTGGGGGTATAAGAAAAATGTTGGGAGGGGGTCCAATCTAAGATAATTTCTTCACCTTTCAACATCTGAGAAAGATTGATTTTGCTGTGCATCTGTCCCTTTATCAGATATTGGAAGCTGGGTTTGAATTCTCCATGTAACATTAATATGGAACAATAGAATAAGGTCCCAGATGCATACAAAATAATTCTTGGTATTTGAAGAAATCTCACCAGCATGCCATTTATTGTTGAGACAAACTCTCTCAAGAGGATAAGCAAGCTGGTCAAGGGTTCTGTGACCACTAGGAATTCTCACCTTTAGCATGAAAGTGAGGCACCAAATGTTCACACAAACTTGCACAAAAAGCCTCCAGTGTCTTTTCTATCTCTGAAGCTCACTGCCCATACACAGGGAGTGCAAAAAGGGCAGGCCAATTGCTCACAAACAGGCCAACAGCCCACCAAAGGCTGAATAATTCATGCAACAATAGCTATTGTTGTTTTATTTTGTACAATTGCATAAAAATTAGTTTTCCGAATGCATAAATGGTATCTGAGATTTGAAAAGAAAAAAATGGTCCACTAACATAAGAAGATTATTATTTTTTTGCTTGTTTGCTTTATTTCCCCACTTAACATGTAAAGATGAACCAGCGTATCTTGTAGTCTGAGTGGAAGGGGGTTGCCCCCCTCCCGATCAGTTTAGGGTAAGTCTGCAGAGGCATCAGTCCATGTATATCTTTCACGGCTCCAGGGCCTCAACAATAATAACTATAGGTAAAGGTTCCCCTTGACATTTAGTCCAGTCGTGTCCGACTCTAGGGCACAGTGCTCATACTCGTTTCTAAGCCACAGAGTCAGCGTTTGTCCGAAGACAGTTTCCATGGTCATGTGGTCCAGTTTTTAAAAGGAACAAAGGATGGACAATGTCCCAAGGTTCACAGAAAGTGGCATAGCTAATATGCTGGTTTGTTCTGAGACAGAACAAATATAGTCACTTAACTGACCACAGCTGCCTCAAGAAGAATAAGGTTGCTGCTGGAAGTGAACAACAAGATGATGTCTCCTCCCATTCCATGAGCAGGACAGAGCAGTCAAGATCAGCAGTTGAAGGACTGATGATAGGACAGCATCTTCCACCATACCTTAAGGCAATAAGGTTGTTTGGAGGGCAAACCGTGGGGCAAAAAAATCCACTTGGGGGAAAATACCTAACACTGATCCCTATACATTCGCACTCTTCATATGATCACAGAAGTGGCTGAAGAGGGAGAATGAAGGAACCTCTCTCTTCAGACATTTCCATGATCATGTGAAGAAAACGATGACTGAGAGAGGAGGGTAACACACTCTCCACTGAATGTGTTGGGGCAACTAGATCCATTAACACTTGAATACGGGTTTTGAGAAGATGAAAATCCAGAAGGGAAGGAGGGAGTATTTCTAACCATTTAACAGGAATAGACAACACCAACAGGCCAAGGGACCAATATCACACACCTGGATCCCACCATGGGCCACATATCTTTGACAGCAGAGACTACATATCCCTGAAATTGGGTGCATAGCCACTGCAAGGTGGGGAGAATCCCACCTTCAGTTATCCCACTGTGTGCACAGACCAGGAGCAGGCACTATGTTTTAGAGGACAACCACATTCCCGCAAGTGTCCATGAAGGATATTTATCCTTTAAATCAAGGCATTTACTCTTAAACTGACTTCTTCTAGTGATAACATATTTTTAAAAATGCTGCTTTGGTGAAATTTGACAGCACTGACTTTGAAGGAAGTAGCAGGGCCTCTAAAAATATTGGAAGGGGATCACCAAAATAAAAGAGGTGGGAGTCCTTGCCATATTCCTGCAAGTGTCCATGAAGGATATTTATCCTTTAAATCAAGGCATTTACTCTTAAACTGACTTCTTCTAGTGATAACATATTTTTAAAAATGCTGCTTTGGTGAAATTTGACAGCACTGACTTTGAAGGAAGTAGCAGGGCCTCTAAAAATATTGGAAGGGGATCACCAAAATAAAAGAGGTGGGAGTCCTTGAACAGTTAACCCCAGCAGTAACACAGACATACTAATAAAGAATTATTACAGGGAATGGAAAGAAGTGCTTCCTAACATACAAATGGCACCTTGTGAATACAAATGTGTATATGGTACAACAATAGCATTTATTGAAAAATAATGAACTTTTTTACTATATACATTTTGTGATCCGTTGTAAACTAAGCAGGTACCTTCTGCTTTTCAAGATGTTTTTTTGACTGCAACTGTGATCAGCCCTAGGCAACATAGCTAATGTGGAGGAATGATAGGACTTGCAGTCCACGAACAGGTCCCTGATTAGATTCCTATATGACAGTACACAAGCTAGGGAAATGGGCTGGCATATTCAATTTTCTGTTGCAATATCACTCATTCTCTGCAGAAAACTATGGAATTGAAAATAACTTTTACTGCCCCTGAATCAACAATCTATCAGAGGATCCTAAGAGTCTTAGAGCAGTGATGTCACTTTAAAAAGAAACACACAAAGCAAGTCAGAATTCCTGGTCTCCACCCATCTTGCTTAACAAATTGCTGGAACGCCCTGAGGCACTAAGCATTCAACAGATATATCTAAGCAATGTGCTATATAATAAAACAGCTTACTCCAGTAGCACATTTAAATGACGTGTATAAATATACATATATGTGCATAGGTTGCTGACACTTTTATTTTTCCTACAACGGATGTTTTTCTGTGGTGCATGGTTATTCAGAGAGGCAAAGAGATGGATTTCCGACCAGTTACCCACACAAGTAAGTATTCTGACAGCAGTAGCTGATTTGGAAAAACTGAACAGTTCAAGGTTTCTAAAAGTCGTAAATCTGGTGTTAGTGTTGTTTTATAGCTGATGAAAGGGTGAGACAGTCTGGAATGTGGATGTATTTTCAGTGTGTGTACAGTTTATAACAAAATTTGTTGTGAAGGGGAGGGGAGGCTACTCCTTGGAAGCACTTTAATGACAATTATGAAATCTGGGAAATTGGGGTAGAAATTCAGACTCCTTAATTTTACCGTTTGCTGAAAGATGAGCACAGGAAACAAAAGTAGTCTCACATTTACACATAAGTTCTTATCTTCCCCAAGAGTTTTCTCAAATCCACTTTGTGCATAAGATGATTAATTTGTGGCTTTAAAAAAATGCCACAAAGGAATTACATTTTGAACAGTTTCCTTCTTGTCTGATGATTGGGGAAAAGACTGTAAAAATAATGAGGTTGAATCATTCCAAAGTGAGTAATATACAGAATTAAATTTGACAAGGGCTATGAGATTATCCCAGTCTCTGCACTGAAGTTCTGGTGTGGTTCATGGTTTTGAAAGAGAAGAAAAGTTAAAGAGTTTGTTCGGAAACTTTTTTTAGTTTTCTTTCTTAGATGATCTAGTTTTTGCACCATTAAAGTATGGAGGTAACCAATAGCAAGTCATCTTGCCTCTAATCCAGCTGTGTACAGATGCAAGAAGAAAACTGAAGTGGGTGAACAGTTTTGAGCAAGTGCCCCTTGGTATCTCTCAGGGCAATATGTAGCCTGTAGATCTTTGCCTTGTTTTGGTCCTAGAGAATGGGATTTGGGGTTGGTCTGGGTGATGCCTGTAGGTCTTTCATAGCCCTGTAATTCTGAGCTAATGGAACTGGTGGACTGCTAGAGGTTGCCTTGATGTCCATGGCAAAATGACCATTCATGGCATTTTCTGGGCTTCCCCTTCCAAATGAATATGCCAGGTTGGTACCTGGGTACGGCCAGAGGAAGCAACATGAATTAATTGAAGTTTTGGGAGATTTAGTCAAAGACCTTAAATAGACCTCTCAAGGCACCTTTAGGGGGCACAAGCCAAGGATGGAAAATGTTACCTGTTTTGCACTACAATTCCCAGAATACCTTCAGCCAGCATGGTCATGTGTTAGCATTTTCCCCCTAGAATGCGGTATCGAAGAGCTTCATGGCACAGTAGTTAAACTGCTATACTGCAGCCAAAACTCTGCTCACAACCCAGGCTCAGTCCTAGGTAGCTGGCTCAAGGTTCAATCAGCCTTCCATTCTTCTGAGGTCAGTAAACTGAGTAACCTGCATTGCTGGGGAAAGGCAATGTGCACCCTGCATAATTAAATTGTAAACAACCCAGATAGTACTCTAAGCACCATTGGGGGGGGGGTATACACAACACATTTGGCTTTTGCTTTAAAGTTAATACCACTGGAAATAGTTAAATGATGGATGAGTTGGCACTTCTCCTTTCTTATTTCCTCTCCTTCCTACCCCAGTCCCACAAGTAGTATATCAGTGAGTGTGTAAAAAGAATCAGTCTAGGAAAAAGAAGGTATCTTGGTAATTACTTCCATCTCATTTTGCATAAATGAATCAGTCATTTTACCATTCTTGTGTTTCTGTTTGAAATAAATGTACAAAATGGATTCTGGGGAAATTGAAAATAGGTTTGCATGTTGAATAGAGACTATCGCAGTGACAAGTCCAAATTGCAATAGATGCCATTAAATGCACCAAACACACTGGATGAAAACAGGGACTGACACATTTAAGGCACAATTCCATTTGTAACAGGTGCGGTTTTGCACATTCCGATAATTGTATGCAAATATCTATGGTGGCAGCTGCTTTTTGAAGGTAAAAGCAAGTAATTAAATATGTAAATGTTATTTTGCTTCCACAGAGAGCATTTAAGCAAAAATCAAATGAAGCCATACAAATATCAGGCTTGTCATGGTTTATGTTGTTATGCCCCTTGAGTTGACTGAAGACGATTTAATGATAAAAGGTAGCACAATGGAAATATTCTAAAATCCACAGTAGGACAAAACTTTTATTAGATCCAACTGTAGCCTCGAAAAGTAAGCGAGCAAAATCTCCAAGATGCTTCATTGTGTTGGATATAAAGCTGATTGGCTTTAGGAAGGGAGACTAGAAAAGGCTGGCCTGAGGCTGAAAGAACAAGACCTGCATTTACTCATATAGTGTATCTTTGCTACACAAGTATACCCACTGACTACTACTTTAAGTGCCATGGATCCATTTTCAGGAATCCTGTGATCTGGGGAGAGGCTTAGAAGTTTTTTGCTAGGGAACTCTAATACTGTCATTCAGGGGAATACACCACAGCTCCCTAACAAATAATTCTAAGCCGATATGTGCCGATTTGTGCTTTTGGAAGCACAGGCTGCTTTGGGTAAAGCTGCCAAGTCTCAGGGCAGCAGTATAAGTCTGAGGGAATTGCTATGTCTCCCTCAGTTTTCGTGCATAAGCTGTCTCCTTTTTTCATCAGCCAGCCACTTTTCACTCAAACAAAATGCAATGGTCAGGGATGTTTTTCAACAACTGTGAATGGTAATGAGCTTTATAAAAATAGAACTTTAAATATACATACGCTAGATACAAATTCCAAATTTCCCTCATGTAGAATTACCTAGTGTTAGAGAATCTAGAAGACGAGCACATGGTCCATAGTATGGTTACCGGGAGAAGACAGGCGTGAGAAAAGCTTGGATGCGGCTATAGTCCCTCTTTGCCAAAATATTTTGAAGGGCTGTTTTAGACTTAATGAAATGGTGAAGCAAAGGTTTGAGTAATTGCAGTACATATAATGAATGGAGAAACTTATACACTCTTTAACCTCTCAGGTAAACTAATATAGTCATGCCTGCTGCACAGAAAGCAGACTATAAAGTTATGTTCCAATTTCCAAATGCTTTCCTTGAGTTAGGAAGAAGAAAAGCTATATCAGACAAAAAGGAGGAAGAAAAGCTATATCAGACAAGAGCTCTATGAACATGTTGTGTGCATGCTTTCCAATATATGTTCCCTCGCCTTTTTTTGGGGGGGGAGAAGGGAGCGAGGAGAGCTGAGAGTTAGCAAAATTTGTTATTGGAAACCAAGGTAAAAATCTCTAAGACAGTTAAGTTTGACAGGGACAAAAATCAACTCATGTGAAATGTAGTGTTGGGGAAAGCCTTACAGACAGCCAGAAAGGCAGAGAAATGGGTGCTCAAGCAAGTCAAGCCTGAATACTCACTAGAACAAAAACAAGTCAACTGAGGCTATCCTGCCATGCACATATAATGAAAATAGAGAACTGACAATAGAAGACAATATTGCTGGGAAAATGGGGGGGGGGCAATAGGAAGGCCTAATACAAGGCAGATTATCTCAATAAAGTAATCCATTGCTCTTAAGTTTGCAAGACCTGAGCAGAACTTACTGGAAAAGACAATATTGCTAGGAAGGGTAGGTAGTAGGAAGACAGAACAAGCTAATGTGAGATGTTGTTGATTTTCAAGATCTGAGCAGAGTTGTTAATGGTATGACATTTTGGAGGTCATTAACTCATCTAGTCAGCATACATGAGAAGTGACTTGGTGGCATGTAACAGCTTTAGAGTTTTTTTTCTTAATTACCAGACACTTGTATAGAGAGAAGACAAGTGGAATGGTTGAAAGTATAACAGGATAGAGACACAAAAAAGCAAACCAAATTATTTCACAGCTTTAACAAGTAAGCTTCTGAAGATTTTTCCCCTCTGTTCTTTTAAAAAATCTCTTTTAAAATATCTTTACAATCAGGCACAGAATGCCTTTGTAAGCATAAATATCTGTTTGACCAGGAAGGAGTTAAAAAGTTCTCCTCCTGGGAGTCAGCTAATTGCATCCTGACTGTCAGGGCTAAAATGTTCAGATGGCCCCAGATCTGGAGCTGATTTTCTCTTTGAAAACTTGTGTCAGGAACCAGGTCTCAGAAGTCCTTAGAGCATGTGTGCTGACAGGACTCACAGCTGGGACAAACACAACTGCTCTGTTATTTTGTAATGTAGAGATGCATTGAAGATAATTAACAAAACTGTATGCTAGTTCTCTGGAATTAGCAAATGACCCTTTTAAGAGCACTCTCACTCCATTACATTCTCTAAAGCAAATCTGGTTTTTTTACTCTTTAAATAAATCCTGTCGTTTGACTCTGTTTCCATGACCTTTCATTGCCCTACAAGTTTTTCCCATGAAATTGAAACATTGTATCTACTTTGGAACACTCTTGCTGATAAACCTGTTCCATACATGCTCAGTCTTATAGCAAAGTGGTTGTATTTCTCCTTTGAAAGGCTTTTTTTGAGGATTAATATTTCCCCTTTGAAAGGCTTTTTTTGAGGATTAATAATTCAGCCCTTGCAGTCTGTATTCTTTCCAAATAAAAAAGGGGGGGCGAACCATTCTCATTCAAGATAAGCAAAATTAGTCTTTTTAATTTACTTGATCTGTCTTAAATCTCACAATGTTACCTGCTTCTTCATGGGTGGTGATCCAAAGTCCAATGACAAAATAATAATTTTTTTGCTTCTGCTGCCTCATTTTTAGAATTGCCTTGTAAAATGTTGATTTGCTCTGCTGCACAATAAAATAGCTTTATACTCCTTAAACAAGTGCAATCCCTAATGAAAAAGGACAGTGTTTCACACAGCATTTTAAAGGGGACAGCATGGGAGAGTTGGCTTTCCAAACTTGATGAAGCATAGACACCTTCCAAAAGCTTTTCAATTCCTGCCATAAGGAGGAAAGCACCATATTCTTTTTTCTTCGTTTTCAAATTATATTCAAGTAAACGTCCATGACTAAAAATGTGTGTATTTGAAACAGTGTACATGAAATACCCTTGAGTCAGTGGGGAAAGTGCATAACAATGTGTGCCTCAATCATTGATGCTGAATATGTATGAATTTCTGTGTGGGAAGTGGAAAAAGGACCTCAAAACCT